CTGTTTGTTCAAGCCATCCCACTGGTAGTATATTCCTGTCAGAGTGGCACTACGTAACCAGAATACTTACAATACCTATTACTAATTTAATTTAATTATTAATTTGGATCAGATGCACCTAACCCATGCCATGGTATATTCAGTCACTCAATATACACACAAAAGCTGGAATAAAGAAAGCCAACAAGGAATTTTTGAATTATGCCTTTGAATTATAGTGTTGGCTAAGAATTTTGAATATACCATGAATTGCCAGAAGAATGAACAAATCTGTCTTGGAAGAAGTACAATCATAATACTTCTTAGAAGAGAGGATGGTGACACTATGTCTCACATACTATGTACATATTATCAGGAGGGACCAATCCCTGGGGAAGGGCATCATGGTTGGGAAAGTAGAGGATCAGCGAAAAAGAGGAAGACCCTCAACAACATGGGTTGGCACTATGGCTGCAACAATGGGCTCAAACATAACAATTGTGAGAATGATGCAGGACCAGGCAGTGTTTTGTTCTGTTGTACTTAGGGGCACTGAGTTGGAACCCACTCAACGGCACCTAACAGCAACAACAATGATTATTTTTAAAGAAGCACTATGGTGGATTGAATGACAACTCAAGGGTTACATTAGACTAACCCACTGCTGTCGAGTTGATTCAGACTCATAGAGACCCCCATTGGGTTTCTAAGTCCATAAATCTTTATAGAAGTAGATTTCACCATCTTCCTTCAATGGAGCAGCTGGTGGGTTTGAACCACCAACCTTCTGGTTAGTAGTCAAATGCCTGATTCACTGAGCCACAAGAGCTCCTTTACATTAGACTGTTGTTGTTGTTGTTGTTGTTTTGTGCCATCATGTCAGACCTGACTCATAGCGACCCCTCCTTGGGTTTCTGAAGTGGTATCATTAGACGGTTGTTGTTGTTATGTGCCATCAAGTCAGACCCGAATCATAGTGACCCCTCCTTGGGGTTCCGAAGCGGTATCATTAGACTAGGAGACCATAATTTCAGAGAGATCACAGAGAAAAACATGATGAATTAACTTGTGGTAAGGGGCACTAGAGACATTTCTGTGAAGACTGATGCCCTACAGAAGCTTTCTCTCCTGTTGACAGGCAAGATGTAGGTGCCATGTATATGAGAGACAAATTGGAGGACGGAGAAGTGTTGGAGAAAGTTTGGATGAAAGAGATTCTTATTTCTGGAAAAGGTTTATTGACCCGGGCCTTGGGGAATGAATAGACAGAAGAGGTTGTCTGAGTGAGTGTGTGTGTGTGTCAGGCCTATACATATGAAAACAGCAAGATAAAGGAAGGGAAGGTAGCGTTTTGAGATCATCATGCTGGGGCACAGTATGAGTGCTGATGTGTATTGATTGGGCTTGAGGTTTGAGCTATACCACTCATCTTTAAAGTCTAGTCAAAATATTTAGTTTTTATAATATTAAACCAAAACTAAACTCACTGCTGTTGAGTCAATTATGCCTCATAGTGGCCTTTTAGAACAAAGTTGAACTTTCCCATAGGGTGTCTAAGGCTGTAAATGTCTATGGAAGCAGATTGCCACATCTTTCTGCTATAGAGCAGCACATGGGTTCAAACTACTGACCTGTCTGTTAGCAGCTGAGTACTTAACTCACCATTCCATCACTAGGGCTCCCATATGATGTTAGAGAATAAGAAATAGCTGTTAATTACCTTCAAGACTTCCTGTAATGAACTCCCCCATTTGAGAGGCAAAGAGACAAAAATGTCTTCCTAATACATTCAGCATTCTGAGCATCTTTATGCAGAATTCTGAAGGACAGACAAGGTAATAGTCTTCCCTGCAGAAAGACAGCCTCTCAACAGGGGGGTGTGCCATTCCCATGAAAATATCTATCCTTGGAAACTCTGTGAGTACATGAAGGCATATCTTCCATAGGGAATACTCCTTTTCTGGGTCCCATCCCATCCCCCGGGCAGACTCATTCCACAAATATGCATGTAGTGGAAACAGAGAAGTTGTTTGGCAACATAAACATGTCCACTCATCCTCAATGAAGCACATTTCACATTGTTTTTGATAGCTCTTGTAGAGTCATGCTAATACCTGTTCAGCATCCCAGCAGCACGCAGGCCTCCCCTGACAGGCAGGTGGTGGGCGCGTATGAGGGACACTGACTGGGAATTGAACCTGGCTCTCCCACATGGAGAGAGAATTCTACCAATGAATCACTAATTCACATACACACATGCACATATGTGTACGTGCATGCATATGCACACAGACGTACACACACATCTATTTTTAGGTACCAACCCTGCCCCCTTGATATCTGAAGTCCTACAATGAGACAGTAGACATTCCAGGTAATCTGTGAGACCTCCCAAAAGAGCCCTTGACAACCTCCTGCCTAGAGATTGTGGTGAGGCTACAGAAAGATAGATTTCTCAGGCTCAGAGCAAGAGGAGCGGCGAATGACGCAAAAGCCAAGGAACAAGGGTGACCATCTTTGTAGACCGGGAGGGGAAGAGAAAGCACTTCAGATGGGATTTTCACATTGTTCAAGTGCCTCCGCTGCCAGAGGAGAACAAGCAGGCCCTCTGCAGCTCTCTCCCCTGTTGTCACACATTCCCTCTGCTTTGCCAAGTTTTTATTCCTCAAGATAAACCCGAAGGCCAAGCTGCCAGAGGTGAATTACAAAGCGCAGCGCTCTGCTCAGGTGGCATTTGATAATGGCAGGCAGTCAGGGGCCAATAAAGGCACCATTTCAGCAAATCGAATGAACCAGGTACTAAACACGTGTCACCCTGTTCGACACCCTTACCAAAAAGGTAGAGGGCAGGAAGGAAAGCGAGCAATGCAACTTCTTGAATAGGCAACATTTTTATTCCTTTTGCACTTACGCTAACCCTTTAGAAGGGTGAATGGCTAAGATCGAGTCATTTCTCATTTCTGGGATGGTGAAGCTTCATTTGCTCAGACTTGTTGGAGGGAAGGCTGGTATGACTTTGAAAATTCTGATTTATGAAATTCAATTTTTACACAACTGGCAGGTTAGTCGTTTTTAAGTATGCAGCGGCTTCTCAAACATGCAAAGCCAGCATGAGATTCCCTGGTGAGAAGCTCTTATGGAGCACCTGTAGAAATTAACTCAGTGTTATTTGTAATTAACACACTGTTGTTGGGAGGGAGAATGCTCCTGGAGTTTACACCTTCCACCTTTGTTGAGGATTGACAATGTGTCAGAAACTGTTCTGACTACTCTTAATTGCCCAGAATGTGGCTTATTTTCCTCTGCAGTCCAAGGTATTCCTCCCAACAACGCGTTTATACCCTTTATCTGCTTAACAAACTTTCCATTCCAGTTGCATACAAAGCTGGCCCAACTCTACATTTTCCCAGATGCCAGATCAGCAGGTACAAACTAATGAGATCTGACTGTGGCAAGAGCAAAGGCAACATGTGCATATTCTATTGATCAAAACCCAACCTTTGAATTGACAAATCCAGAGCTATTTGTTGAAATAATGTTAGAAGTCAGACATATTTGATGGTGAATCCCCGCTCTTATGAACTTAATCACTTAAATTTTGTCTTCACCTCAGTGTCCTCATCCACATAATGGATTTGTTGTTAGTTACTGGACACAATGCTTGGTCCATGACAGGGACTGGCAAGATGGCAGCTAGTACTCCACTCTTCTGCTTAATAATTGTCATGCTGTGATGTAAAGGACCTGGATTAAGTCAAAGAGATTTAAATATACTTGCGAGCTTTGGGTGTTCCAGAGAGCCACTTAATCTAACTTTTCACTTCCTCATCCTCAAAAGAGCCTGATGGTACCTATAGCTCATAGCACTCATGAGAATTAAGTGTGATGCTGTGTAGATAGTTCTGGAATGCAGTACTCGCCATATCTCAGTCCCGTCCACTCTGCCCCCCCCCCCCAGTTTTTCTGAGTAATAATCATTCCAAGTAGAATCAAATACTCATGAAGTGTTTGATAAACACTAAAACAGCTGGAGAATAGAATGCACAGTAACTGCTTTGTTACTGCATGATTTTTGACAACTTACCAATTATAACCTCTTTCCTAACATACAGAAGAGGGGAGGTGGTTCTGTTTCCAAGCTAAATAAAACCCACCAGCCACTCCTCGGAAGGAAGGTTGGGCAGTCTACTTCCATAGTGATACTGCCTCGGAAACCCAAGGAGGGGTCGCTATGAGTCGGGGGCGACTCGACAGCACATAACAACAACAACAACAATTTTGATGGGGAGAATGGAGTTATAGGAATGGAGTAGGGGTTATCTGATAGTTGAGGAAAGCCATTGTTTCTTCAAAAGGTTTTTCCTTATATTCAGTGTACTTTGGTGACTTAATACAGCTATCTTTTATAGAAAAAAAGGGAACAGTAATTGAATCAAGATGTTTACTGTTTGTTATATCTTACATGAAGGAGTTCCTGGTGGCAAAGTAGTTAAGGATTTGATTGCTAACTGAAGGATCAGCAGTTCAAATCCACCAGCTTCTCCTGGGAGAATGATGTGGCAGTCTGCTTCCATAAAAATTACAGCCTTGGAAATGTGTTAGGAGTGGTTCTGCTCTGTCCTAAACCATCACTATGAGTTGGAACCAACATGATGGCAATGGGTTTTTGGATGGTTATTTAGCATTTACTCTACAGCAGAATTGGAACCACTATCATTTATCTAGTGTCAACTACAGGCTACTTCCTTAGAGGAAATAGGAAGCTCTATTAACCCTGTGTTATTACCCCAACCCCCCAATAGCATCAGAGGCACTGATTTCTTGCTTTCTATCCCAAAGCCCAGGGAATCATTATATCTAATCATTACCTTTACTCTCTCCATCCTCATCCTCACTTTCCTCCAAGGCAAGTACTCTCAGCTGAATTTGACAGCCTGTTTTGTTTTCTGTTTTAGTTTAAGGTAAACAAATATGTCCCTTCTCAAGTTGATGTATTTTTCAGCCATGTCAATTTTTCCCAGGTAGCAGGGATAAAGGGAATGTTCTTGGCTAACAAGAAGATTGACAACCAAGTGAAGACTTTCATCACATATAACAAAGGCAGAGACTGGCGTTTGCTGCAGGCACCAGACACGGATCTAAGGGGGGACCCTGTGCACTGCTTGCTGGTAAGTCTTCTAATGAACAGAACACCCCAGTGCAGTGGAAGGCTGGAGAGTGGGTGCTGAATAAGCAGATGAAGATTGCTTGGGGGCTGCTTGAACCAAAGAGGCAGGGAAGAACGTGGGGACAGAGGGTGGTGGAGACTCATCATTGCTCTGTAGGAAGGCCAGAGAGCCAAGAGACCACCAACAAGATCCTCACTTAATCCCAGCATCCTCAGTTCCAGGCCAAGTTCTGATAAGGACCTCAAGTGGTAGTCTAAGGGGGAATATGATAGTTACCATATATGGTAAGGTTCTGCCCCGACCACCTTACTTTCCCATAAGTAACCTTTTACAGATCTAGTGATACATAAATAAATCCAGTGGTAGAGTTTATGAACTGAATGCAGAATTGTGTAGGTACATTTTCCAGTGAAGACATCTAATTACATTTTTATAGAAGATCATGACTTAAAAAAGAATGAGAGCCACTGATCTTGACCTATTATTGGTTCTGTTTATGATAAGTCTATTCGTTTACATCTCATTCTACAAACCAGTGGTTGGCAAACTATGATCAGTCCACTTTCTCTAAGTGTCATTGGAACAGTCACATCTACTCATTCATGCACTACTATGTGCTCCAATGGCAGAGACCATATGGTTTATAAAGCCTAACATACTTATTATCCGGCTTTTTTACAAGAAAAAAATTTGCTGATGACCTCTATAAAGCATGTCTTCCTTTCAGTTGTCTTTCTTGTGGGCAATAAGTAGATTCAGCAGGAATTTCTTTATACATTTGACCACCTGATGAGGTCCAAGAGAGGTATCAAAGATAGTTCTTGCCTTCAAGGAGTTTGGTATCTATGTGAGTGAGACTAGGTTAATACACAAAACATTGTAGGATTACATATTACTTCTGTAGCTTTGGTGCCGGTTCCAATGCCTGACACACAATAGATACTAAGTGAATGCAGAAGGAAGGGAGGAAGAGATGGGTTGCAAAATAATAGTAAGTGCTGTATAACAATTAAGAAGTTATGTTTAAATTCAAAGAAAAATGAGACAAGTATGTCAATCTAAAAGGGAAGCATGCTAGTTTTATCAAAAAGCACTTGGTTTACATATAGATGCTATATATATATATCATGTGTTCACATGTTACATACAATTCAGACTGTGATGTTGTCCACATTCCACATGCAGCTTGGTTCCTTCCATCCAACGAGATCTGCACAGTTACTTTGCAGGTTCATCTCGCACAGCTGTAGGTGCGTCACCCTCCTACTCGAGAAGCTGCCAGCAGCCATAGCTTGACCTTATTAGTTGCAGAGGATATCACAGTTGTCATTATTCATCAGGGAAGCAGTCTAAAATTCAGCCTTCCACTCAGCTTCCATCCTGATTACTGGCAACTTAAGGGGGGAAGAGCCAGTTGTTACAGTAAGTGCACAGAGCTGATGACAGTAAGTAAATGTAGCAGTTATTTACTGAATACCTACTCTATGCAAGGCACAATTCAGTGACATTTTAAAAACCAGGCCACCTTCCTAGTTTAGCTTTCCCTAGTTGGGGCATTGGGATATTTAGCCAAAGACGCACAGGCTGTGCCAGTGCCTTCATGTTGTCCCAGCGTGCACTGTGGAGTTGAACTGCCTAGGAGAGAGAATTAACCATGAGGTTTCCCTGGGCACTGTGGCATTATAAATAGATTATTAGAAACAACTTGGACACAGAGTACTTAGTAAGATGTTCCCTGCTTAAGCCTCCACTCTGTCAGGAAGTACTATTGCTGTACCTCTAAACCATAAATGCAATCTCAGCCTACCTCTCCATTTTCACTGTGACCATCCTAACTCATGTCACCATCACTTCTCACCTGCTATACAGTAATGGGTTCTTAACTAGTCTTCCTATCTCTACTCTTACCTCCTGACAATCCATTCTCTAAACAGTAGCCAATGGGACCTTTCTTTCAAATCAATATTATTGAGGTAAAACATATGTAAAATGTACCCATTTAAAGAGTATTTTGATGAGTTTAAACAAATATATATACCCATGTAACCAATGTAACACTCAGGAGAGAACATTTTCATCACCCTACACAATTCCCTTGTGTCCCTTTGCAGTCAGTACCCCTGTCCCTAGACAAAGTCAAAGTCAGATCTGCTTTCCTTCACTGTACGTTTGTTTTCTCTTTTCTGAAATTTTATATACATGTGCTTGAAAAGAATGACATCATGTGCTGCATTTACTTAAGCCTTCTGATGCCTTTATAACTCAGGCAGAATGACATGCAGATCCTTTACCATGGCCTGCAGGTTGCCACGTGGTCTGACCCCTGTCTACTTCTGTCTCTCCAGCTTCTTGGCATCCTTCCTTGTGCACATGCCACATGGGAGGTCTTCGTTACACATCATCACCTCACCACACACATTTATGCCTCCAGGTCTTTGCATTTGCCACTGTTTGTCTTAGGATGCATTCCTTCCTCTGGCTTTTTCTTGCTTGATTACCTTGTCCTCACAGAGCTTTCTTGCACCTTCCTCTCAAGTTGTCCTTGGCCCAACTCTTCTTGCTTTATGATCCTCATCACTCTCTAAAATCATCACAAGGATTTGTTGACTGTCTTCTATCCCTTGCTCTGATATACTATAAGCACCATAAGTATATGGACAGTAAATGTCTTTTTGTCCACCATGTGGCCGGCTCCAATAGTTGTACCTGGCAGGTGGTAGGTATGACAAATCTGTAGTTGTATGGGTATCATGTTTGTTCGGAGTAGGCACACCATTGAGAGGTGTTGTTGAGTTTCACATTTGGACTCTAGTGGAAGCCTTCTCTTTCCACTGAAAGTCACACTGAAGGATTTATCATCCTGTTTACCTTCTGAAGCTCATGGGCTCACATTGTCCCCAAAGTACAGAATCAGTAGGCTTATTAAGATTGGAGAAAGATGAATTAATGGGATATAGATATATGGTACCCAGGAGTCTTCCAGCCTTCCTCCCTCATTAGCCCTGTTGTTTAATGTACCTCCAATCTGAGCTTTAGAAAACAGCCTACAGAGTGAGAAGGGAAAATGGCAAAGAGGAGAGACAAAATCACTTTATAAAAATCTGCCAAAGTCACAAAATAGGAAAGAAAATCTTTGAGCTGCAGGAGACCTAAACTGTTAACAACCTTCTTTAGGCTCGGGAGCTGGTGGCAGAGAGGAGATAAAAAGTGATTTTAGATTGTGAGTGCTTGGGAAGTGACGGTGTCACCAAAAGCACAGACTAGTGATTAGAAAAGAGATTTTCCAGCAGGGCTGTTACAAATGTGGAACAAGTTCAGAATTACAGCCCCAAATGGAATGTTCCTGATAAAATATATTCGATAGAAATGAGACATCCAGGGTAATTTGGGGCTATATTTTTAGGACTTTTAGGCTGATTGCCCACAGGGCTCAGCTGGGATTTCTTTCCACCGAAGCCTGCATGGTACAATTAGATGGGATATTACAGGTCAGGGTCCACCTGCCTCCAAAGCCTCAGGATTTGGCTCCCAAGAGGCAAAATATGAGCTGAGCTGCATCTGTGACAAATCCTTGGGCCCCTAGGGAAAGTGCAGCATTTCCGGGAGAGAGGCTTTGACTTCTTTATGGATTCCGTTGGCAGTTTCCTACCAGAGCGAAGCATCTACTTGTCCCAAGAGATTGTGAGCTCTGCTTTCCCACTCCCGTGTACTGGCTATGACTCAACATGTATGTGCCGGATTGTAGACACAGGGATAGAAGACAGTCACAGTGCGCCAGGCCCAGCCCATTCATTCGTCTAAGCCCTCCCTCTTCTCTGTCACTGATTCTTCTAAAGATCTGTAGATTCCTGTATCTCATTAACTGTTAGGAACAACTGGAATGAGGGGTGGTTGGGGATACTATTTGGGAATTCAGCTGCTGCCTTATTACTTATGAATGCTCTAGCCTGGTTTTCAGTACAATGTTCAGATTATAAGCTCTGTGGTTAAAGATACCATGAAGATGAGATATGAAAACTTGATTCAAAGGCTGGGAGAAAAGAGGAAATAGTATATGAAACAAGTTGATCCTCAACTAATCTGATATTTTTAAAAGTTGATTTACTTCCTGGATGACTTGGGATATGTCTTCCATCATTTAGTAATTCCCATTTGCCTTCTACAGTGCTTACATAGTTGCTAGTTAGTAATTCAGTTAAATCCAGCATTTTTGAACACTAACAATGGCCAATAAAATCAGGAAGGGAGTGTGTCAGGGTTGTATCCTTTCACCATACTTATTCAATCTGTATGCTGAGCAAATAACCTGAGAAGCTGGACTATATGAAGAAAAGTGTGGCATCAGAGTTGGAGGAAGACGCATTTACCACCTGTGATATACAGACGGCACAACTTTGCTTGCTGAAAGTGAAGATGACTTGATGCACTTATTGATGAAGATTAAAGGCTACAGTCTGCAATATAGATTACACCTCAACATAAAAAAAAAAAAAAAAGGAAATCCCCACAAATGGACCAATACGGAGCATCACAATAAATGGAGAAAAGATTGAAGTTGTCAAAGATTTCATGTTGCTTGGTTCCACAATCAACACCAATGGAATCAGCAGTCAAGAATTCAGACAACTTAATGCACTGGGCAAATCTGCTGCAAAAGACCTCTTTAAAGTGCTGAAGAGCAAAGATGTCTCTTTGAAGTCTAGGGTGTACCTAACTCAAGCCATTGTATTTTCAGTTGCCTCATATGCATGTGAAAGCTGAATAATGAATAAGGAAGACTGAAGAAGAGTTGGTGCCTTTGAATTATGTTAGCAAAGAATACTGAAAGTACCATGGACTGCCAGAAGAACTATCATATCTGTCCTGGGGACAGTGCAGCCAAAATGCTCCTTGGAAGCGAGAATGGCCAGACTTCATCTCACCTACTTTTGTCATGTTGTCAGAAGGGACCATTCCCTCGAGAAGGATATCATGCTTGGTAAAGTGGAGGGTCAACAAAAAAGGGTAAGGCTCTCAATAAGATAGACTGACACAGTGGCCGTGATGATAGGCTCAGGAATAGAGAGGATTGTGAGGCTGGCACAGGACCAGGCAGTGTTGTGTTCTGCTGTGCAAGGGGTCGCTATGAGTTGGAGCTGACTCGATGGCACTTAACAACACAGCACCAACAACAGTGGCAAAGGCTTTTGTTAGATGAAGTTAGATGTAAAAGAATAAGGCAAGAGGGAGGTACTGAAGATCTGGAAGTCTATTGATGGGTCTCAAAGGTTTGTGAATTCCCAGAAATTGAATGTGAAACTCTGTGTGTACTTACCTTTGTCTGCTTTTTCTTGGAAAAGGGTCCTCCTTAACTTCTATCAGAATCTCAGACTTTGTACCTGACTCTGAAACGATTAAAGACTAGGGATCTAGTTGCTCCTCCAGTTGACCATTCACCATCTGCTCTTGTCCTATGACTGTGCGTAACTAAGGGGAAAAGAAGGGCTTCAGCAATGCTGATCCCACCATTCTCTGTGAGTTAGCTACTGGGTCATTTATCATTTCAATATTTAGTCCTGTATCTATCTTCCTAATGGGGAAAAGGGAGGGGAGATAGACAAGGGGAACAGGCTGTTAAGCTCTCTGAAGTTGGAGATTCCTCTGAAAATGTCAAAACAGCATCTGTGACTACTAGCTTATAGTAGGTGCTTAGTACACATTTGCCAATGGTTGTTGTTGTTGTTGTTGTTGTTGTTAGGTGCTCTCGAGTCATTTCCAACTCATAGTGAGCCCACGCACAGCAGAACGAAACACTGCCTGATCCCGTGCCAGCTCCATGATCCTTGCTATACTTGAGCCCATTGTTGCAGCCACCATGTCAGTCCATCTCATTGAAGGCCTTCCCCTCTGTCGTCAACTCTCCACCTTACCAAGCATGACATCCTTCTCCAAGGTTAGCTAATGGTAGGAAGGAAAAGAAAGGCCTGTTAAACTCTCCTGCCTGGTCAAAATGTGCAAAAGACATAGAGAGTACAGTGTGGAGTTCTCTAGAGGCTTACAGTGGCTGGAGAGCCATTATCATAAACCTCTCTATTAATTTTTGGTGATTTGACTTTGACAGATTTCTAAAACTGCTCAGGTTAAAAAGCAAAAAAAAAGTTTAAAGTTAACAAAGTAAGGATGAATTACTTCACATCATTTGTCTTCAAACATTTGTGTAGACTATATAACTTCCTTGAAGAAATGAAAGGGGAAGAAAAAGAAAAAAAACCTACAGAAAATTCTTCTCATACCAGCTGGGGGCAATCCAGTACTACAAATGCGAGAGCAGAGAAAAAAGTGCACCAGAAGGATCATTTCTAATGCTGCTGCCACTATGTGAGCTGGTGGCTTTTCTTCTCACATTAATTTATCTTGGTCCTCTGAAAGCCATGGCAACAATGCAGTGCTGGGATGGCCAGCTGAAAGCATCCTTTTTCCTTTTTTAATTCCAGGCCCCCCATGCCAAAGAATCCTTAGGTGAGGTGGCAGCTTAGCCTCACAGTCTTCCAGACTGATAGATGATGAAGTCTCTGTGGCCAGCAGCTGGCTCGTGATCACAAGCAGGGTGTTCACACTTGACCAGCAATGTCCTGCTCTGTTGAGTGGTGCAAAAGGCCCTCTGTTAAGCCCATATGTCTGTGGATAATCCCCAAGCAATAATGTATTTCTTAGGAATGTCATGGGGAGACTTATAACATTATTTGGATTATGTGGTTTATAGCTGAGCCCATACACTCTGGCATTGCTCTGTGCAAAATAGTAAAGCGATACTTCCATGTCCTAACACAAACAAAACAAAACAAACCCCACAAACATAACTTGATATTCCAAACATTCATTGAGTGTCTTAAGACTCTATGCTAAGTTCTACAGACACACAAAAGTAGTACTTGATGCTTTTTCTTTATAGAGCATATCCCTTGGGGGGACAACACTGTACATATCTGAAATAGATAATACAAGATTGTACCTGGTAAGAGGCCTAGGATAGTCAGAGGAAGGGCAACCTTGATATCCTACAGTTGTTTAGAAAATTGTCCTGGGGAAATGTTTTGGTACTTCTGCTTAATTATGTCTTAGCATCTGTCTGAGCATTAGGCAATGCTGTCCGGGGACCCATGCAACCAAAAACAACACCCATTGTAGTCTTTCTCTTGGGCAAGATGAAGCCAAGTGTGTTTGAGGATGATTTTCTTTATAGGAACTGTCTTCTGTACTCTAGAATATTACATAGTGAGCATTCTCTTTTGAAAGCTTTACCTGCAATTTCAACACAAAACCAGTAATTTATTGCCATTATTATTTCAGGAGAATCTTACTCTCTAGGTTGGCGGTAAGGAAGAGACCCCATTATGATCTGCTGTTTGATTTCATCAGTGTTTTGGCTGCTTTTATTCCTGCGTTTCATTTTTAGTTTGTCATTTAGTCTATCCCATATAAATTTAATCATTCTATCTCGGTTACTCTCCGAATATCTGCTGGCTGAGGCTTACAGAGAGGAATAAAAGTAATAACAGAGATACATTGGTGATTCCAAAAACCCAAGTTGATAAGATTAGAAAGTAATCTTCCTGAGAGATGGAAAAAAGTGTGGGTTCAAACGCAAACTTGTATTTTTTGACAACTCAGAACAAGAACTGTTTTAAAGGCAATTCATATAAGGTTTATTATCCTTTTTCGAAAACTGTTGATATCTTAATCAGGATTTGATCATGGTTTTTGTGAAGATAAACAAGTCCCTTAAATTTTCATTTAAATGATTATTTCTACTGCATTTTGCCTACGAGGATGACTTTTATATTGAATAATACTGACACAGTATCCTGGTACGGACACCATGTAGATTGTTGGGTGAGTATTAGGACAGTTTCATATGCCATACACCTTCTTCTCTACAACTGACACTACTAAGGTCTCATAGTGACTCAGATGCCAGATGACTTCCTCAGAGTCCTTCCAGCCTGGCAGCCTTCTTTCCTGACCGCATCTCCTATTTCTCCTCCTTGGGCTCACCCGTATACATTGTACTGCTCAATCCTTCTGCAGCTTTTTCTCTGCTGTCGATATTCCCCAGTTCTGAAAGGCCTTTTATCTTCTTGAACATCTCACTTGTGTTTCGTGTCTTAACAATCTTTGGCTCAGGCACCCACTTTCTCCTTGAAGATTTTCCCGATCCAGAGTTGGACATAGTCTCTTCACCCTTTAAAATATCATAATATTTTCTCTGCATCAATCTTATGACTCTTAAAATATTGTAATTTTGTAGTGATCACGAGAAATATCTTATGTCCTCTACTTTGATTGTAAACACTATAATAGCAGAGACCAAATTTTAGTCAGGTAAACTTCCATAAGCTACATAAAACTTAGTTAAATGACTAAATGGCAGTTAAGTCGGTAGGTTAGACCTAAAATGAAGGTACTCTCTCTTTTACCAACTTGGTAGCTGTCTTATACTTATGGGAAACTGTAAATTTGGGGATTGAAGCATGGATGGATGGATGAATGGATACTCTCAATCTGGGCTTTAGATATTATTTAAGCTCTAGTCTTTCGATGATACTCCTTTCTCCTCAGCCCTACTGTTCACTCCACCTCCATCTGAAGGTCTCAGAGAATCCCTACACATCAGGGATCATTGCCAGTCGAGACACAGCTCCAAGCATCATAGTGGCTTCAGGTAAGAAACTTGCTGGTTTGCTTGCTGTTGTAAATGGTTTTTATTTTAAGAATCTAGATATCTATATTTGGAACTTAGTGAGCAAGCTAAAAAATACTTTGAAAAGCCCATAAACAATTCACCCTGAAGTAAGAACGGTGAAACCCACTGCTCAGATGTTTGCCATCTAAATTCATCTTAGGCAATACAGACTTCAGTATAGTCCAGCTTTTGCAGAAAGATCCCTTCACTAATGATGATGTGTTCCTTATATAGGTAACATAGGCTCCGAATTGTCAGACAGTGATATCAGCATGTTTGTCTCTTCAGATGCAGGAAACACTTGGAGGCAGGTAAGAAAGTACCAGGCCAATATGCTGCAGTTTGGGTGATACAGTAATTGTCCAACTTGATTCAATGCTGGGGAATTATTCAGCAATGCTACACATAAACCCTAATGACTGCAAATGTGTTTAGCTTCCCTTTTTATGGAAGTCTTACATCTTTGAGTTCAGCAAATATTTATACAATTTTATTTTTATTTTGAATAAATTCATCCCTTATTCAGAGACAATGTGTAAGAAAGTTTATAAATGATAAAAAACCAAATTAATTCTAACTGAATTTTCCCCATAAAAGAAAACCAGAAGTCCAGTGGGTTTTTCATATAGGGAATGGGAGCCTGAAGGGTAGATTCTGTACCTAATACTGAGTTGCCTCCATAAATTCCCCTTGCCCTGAAGTCAGAATGGAGAAGGACGTAGTTATATCAAAAGAGCCATTACCCCAGTGGTGTCTTAGGTTTTGAAATCTCATGTCTAAAAGGCAGAGTAATAACCACCAGGATACATATGTTATGGAAAATAGAAATGGAATCACTTTAAACCATGTGTTTAGCTGAAATGCTTCTTACCTTTCTTCTGAATGAAAATTAGATACCCATGGCTTATAAAACAGGCATTTAATGAAGTTTAGCAATCATAACAAGATATGTGCCTGATGCATAGTTTTTGCACGTGAATAAATACATTTTAATAACCCACTGACATTTACTTATCATACAATAAATAGCACTGTAAATTGAAATGTAATGCACAAGTAATCACACTTAGCAATGAGAACACTTTGCTTTAAATTTTAGACAGGGATGTCCCTTGTCATGGTCCAGCAGCCATTTCCTGGTTTCAGGCCCTTCGAAGATCTTCACTGGGATTCTTATGTTTTGAGGGTAGCGGCATAGGGAAGAAATTTGCTTGATAAAACCTCAGAGCAATTGATCTTGTATTATTTGAAATAAACATTCTCTGGAGAATACTTGGTGAGTCAAGCTCCATTTTCCTGGAAGTCTCTGATCTTTGAGTGGACCTTGGATGTACAGTGTCAACACAAGGGGAAAAGTTTCTGTCTGTAGTGTGAGTCTAGGTACGGCGGTTCTAGCACAGGGACTGGGAGAGAATAGTGTGCATCTTATTGGACAGGATGTTTCCCGCTTGTCTTCAGTTGACTTTAAGTTGATTTTCCTTATTTGGAGAAAGACCTAATGATACCTATGCCAAAAGATAAGGATTCCATTTTATCAGAACTTCCCTTGACTGTCTTATAACTAGAGCATCTTTGAATTGAACAAGGATACCTTAATTCAATAATACTTGGAAATTTCAAAATAATTAGATCTGGAAAAGACACTGTAATGTTGCAAGTCTCAACTCCCTCACTTACTATGTGCATTATATTAGCAAGTCACCACATCTCTCTAAACCCTAATTTTCTCATCTGTAAAAATGAGAGAATTGGAGTAAATTATCTTCAAAATTCCTTCTGTGTAAACATGTCTAATATATGACCCTGCTAGTATTTGAACTGCCAGTGGCATGTGGCATAGCTTCCAGTATCATAACAACATGCAAGCCACCACAGCACGACAAACTGACAGACGGATGAGTTCAGATGGTTAGAAACAGTTGGAAGGGATCACAATAGGAGGTCCTGGATAAAGTAGGAGAAAAATGTGGAACAAAACTCAAAATAATAAAAAAGACAAGAATTACTGGTCTGAAAGAGACTAGTGGAACCCCTCAGACTATGGCCCTTAGACAACTTTCAAACCTACAACTGAGTTCACCCCCTGGATCAACTTTCAGCCAAACAATAGACAGGTCAATAAGGTCAAACCTAGCACCAGGGAGGTACACACCCTTTAGAGCAATCAACCAAACAAGTTCAAAAGGGCAACATTTGCCTAGAGATAAAACTCAGAAGGCAGGAAGGGATAGGAAAGAAGGCTGAAAGGTAAACACAGGGAGCAAGTAGGAAGAGGCTGTTAGCTTTTAGGGATTGTGATCAATGTCACAAAACAAAATGTGTGTGAATTGTTGAATGGAAACCAATTTCCTCTGTAAACATTCCTCCAAAGCACAATGTTGTTGTTGTTATGTGCCATTGAGTCTGCCCCGACTCATAGCGACCCCTCCTTGGGAAGCACAATAAAAAGTTATTTTTTTAAAATTGGTAATTGATGGGATTTACTTGAAAAGAAGAGAATATAAAAATGAATACATAACTACTACTTTATTTTAAACTTCCTTTATGTCACACATATATTATGTTATGTAACACCAATGATACATGCCCCTACCTTGGAAAGCATTGTTCTATAATTGTATTTTCCCAAAGATTAGGGAAACCTATTGCTACTGTAAGAAACCCTGTTAGTGCCATCCATGGTTTAGCACTTAGCTGCTAACTAAAGTCAGTAGTTCAAACTCATAAGGCTCCGTGGGAGAAAGATGTAGCAGACTTCTTCAATGGGATGGTTCTACTCTGTCCTGTAGGGTCACTGTGAAATAGAATCAATCAACTTGACAGCAGTGGGTGGTTATTTTTACCAAGAGTGGGAATTTTCTCCTTATATGAAAACGAATTCTCTGAAATCTGGCTGTGTGTGGATGTGAATGTGTGCATGTATGTGTTTTCCTCTTCTAGATATTTGAAGAAGAGCACAGTGTTTTGTACCTGGATCAAGGTGGAGTCCTGGTTGCTATGAAACACACATCTCTCCCGATTCGACATCTCTGGTAATGACACCTGCTCCCCATCAGACATATACCTGATACTGTGCAGTTTAGACCAATCTAGGAGTCAGGCTGCCCACCAAGTGTGACTGTGTTTGTAGCAAAATGTCAGAGTCTACCAAACAGAAACCACGTTTGAGCTATTAAAATAAGATTGTTACCTGCAGTTTTACTAAAGAGAGAGAAGGAAAAAGACAAAGAAATACAAAAAGAGAGGGAGAGAGAGAGAGAGAATAAAGAAAATTAAAAACAAAAGTTCTGCCCCTACAAGAGAAATTGCCTTATAGTTTTCAAATATGACAATTCCCTTCCAACAGCCTTGTTCTTCCAGCACAATTGTGGATAAAATATGCTCACTTTTAGGTTGTCTGTGAGTAATGTAACTTCTTGCGTCACTTTTCCAAATAATGTTTCCTGGAGTTTCATTTGCATTATGTGCATTTCACTCAAGGGTAGCAGTTCCTGACACTTCTGCTCCTACCTCGTTTCTCCTGATGCTGTCTCTTCTGCAGTGACCTTCTGCAGCTCAGCCTGTAGGTCTTCCACAGGTGGCCATATTAAGCCTTACTTCCAGAGGGGTTTCCATTAGGTTCCTTCATCTGTTTTGAAAGTGGCTCTCTCCATGTGCTAGCTCTTCAAGGTCAAAAGTATAGTGCTTCTCCCAGTGTTAGTTGCTTTAGTGTTGGGTACAAAGCTGCACCCAGAGCACCTGACTTCAGTTTAGGAAATGGAATTAAGAGAAACAACAATTGAGCTTGAGGAAAGGCATCTTAAGAGAAAGGCAGAGCAAAGGGAAATGGCTGTGTGACAGGCCATGTTGCAGATTTCTCTCCTCTTGCTCTCAAGAGCCTGTGCCTCTATACCCATCCATTCAGTGAGGTCAACCAGAATTTGTAACAATATAAGAAGGACGTCACTTAGAGATGGACTGATTGCAGTCCATGTAAGTATACCTCATAAGAACATTCATCTTCAGTAGTAAGACTTGCTAGCAGATTGAGATTTTGGAGAGGATTACATTAGGATCTATGATCTCAGAAAATAGCCAAATTAAAAAAAAAAAATATATATATATATATATATATATGTGTGTATTGTTGTTGTTGTTATGTGCCATCGAGTCGGCCCCAACTCATAGCGACCCCTCCTTGGGTTTCCAAGGCAGTATCACTACGGAAGTAGGATTGCCCAACCTTCCTTCCGGGGAGTGGCTGGTGGGTTTGAACCGTCAGCCTTCTGGTTAGCAGTCAAGTGCCTTAGCCACTATGCTACCAGAGCTCCTTATATATCAAAGACTTGGTATTAGTTTGTTTTCATGGAGGGCTGTCCTTATTGCTGTTTTAACTTAGCTGGATCTCAAATTGCTTAGCTAACTCTTATTTCTACCTTTTGATAAAACCAAAAAACCAAACTCACTGTTACCGCCAAGTTGATTCTGACTCTTAGTGACCCCCCCATTGGATCTTTCTTTGCTAGTCATTAAAAAAAAAAAAAAATGTTGACATTGTGTTGACTCCAACTTACGGTGGATTTTCATATTCATATGAAAAGCTCACTTTGACTATGCCCCAGGTGCTTTCACCACATATTCTCTCCTGGTTGATACTATCTGTCTTTTAAAATTGGATTTTGTTTTTATTTCTCCTTTTGAGATTCGATGACTGGTACTTTCTTCTGTCATTAGGTTGAGTTTTGATGAAGGGAGATCTTGGAGCAAATACAGCTTCACATCTATTCCACTTTTTGTGGATGGGGTTCTGGGTGAGCCTGGGGAGGAGACACTAATCATGACGTAAGTGGAAAACTATGATTCTTAATATACTGAGAGTAAACCCAGAAAGATGTCCTATAGCAAACTAAGCCTGTTTGATTTGCTGCTGTTAGATTTGAAATTGTTCGCAAAGTCGGTGCATCTATAACAAGATTTCCCAGCAAGCAAGACAAATGTGGATAGCAATTTTCTTGGATCTTTCTTTGCTAGTCATTAAAAAAAAAAAAAAAAAATGTTGACATTGTGTTGACTCCAACTCACGGTGGCCTCGTGTGTGTTAAAGTAAAACTGTGCTGCAAAGAGCTTTCAGTAGCTGAGTTTGTGGAAGGAGATTGCCAAGCCTGTCCTCAAGGACATCTTGGGATGGACCCAGACCAACAACCTTCTGTCTAACAGCCAAGTGTATTAACTCTTTGCACCCCCAGGGACTCCGTGTTAGTTATTAGGGGACCCAAACTGAGGGTGCCAGCAGAAGGGGGCAACCTTTGTTTCTGTACTACATCTTGGGAAAAGTAGAAGTGATGTTTAAAAAACAATGCTATAAATTTAAAACCTTGATAATACAAATCTAGATATGCATAAAATCACAGGCACGTAAGAATGACTTCACTTTGAGGCAGAGCGCAGAACTTGGCCCAGTGCACACACAGAGTTTGACTTTTCCTTGGCTCTTTACCTAACCCAATTCCGAGGCATATTAGGAAAACCGCAAGAACAATCTGTTCTTGCGAAATTGAATCTGCGCTCGTTCTCGTCTGGAAAGTGGTGATCATTAATTTGTGAAGGATTTGATTAATTACTCTGTTGCCTGTGGGTTTCAAAATATGGCCCTTGCAGCAGAAATATGAAACTGTGATTTTTCCATCCCCTGGAAAACAGAGAAGGAAGGTTTTAAGGAACTTGATCCTGTCAGCAATGAAAATTTCAAAATCAGAGTGGAGAGATGGCACATTTTCTATAGTTTTTATTTCTCCTCCACCTTTTTTTTTTTTTTCTAAGTTGTAGCAACTAGTGAGTTAATATGTTTGTTCATGGTAAACACAACTATATGGTAATTTCTTCCAGAATTTAGATTTATCCAATTTTTATGTTTGCAAAACACAGTTTAAAAAAGAGCTGACCAAAAGGGTTCCCTTGTGGCTTTTAGCCACACCTGTGATTCATGATTTTCAACAAGTCTCTGTATAAGGAAATTAGAGTACAATGTTAAGAAATGATTATAATTGCTCAACATGGTTGCCTAGTTCCCCTAGGTACTAGCAGGAAATAAGATACCATGGAAACCTTGAGAGCCATGTTCATTAGCAATATGACATAGAAGTCTAGGCCTGGACCACTTTGAATGCAGCATTTGGAGTATTTTTCTGAATGATTCTTTTTATATACTATAGAGAAGTGGCCTTATGAGTCTACCTGCATGGGCTCTGACTGTATGAGTTATTAGTGACTTGACTTTTTTTTTTTCCCCACATTGGCAAACTCTCTTTAAGCTTCAACTTTCCCATCTGTGAAGTGGAACCAATAATAGCACCCACCTCATAAGTGTGTTTGGAGGATTAAATCATTGGATCCATGTATTGTGCTTAGCATTATACCAAGCTCTCAGGAAACACTCAAGCTTAGCTGTTGTCATTGCTGTTGGTATTGTTACTCTTGTGATTGTGTTTTTATCCTCCTGGACTCTGTAGAGTGTTTGGACACTTCAGCCACCGCTCTGAATGGCAGCTGGTCAAGGTGGACTACAAGTCCATTTTCGATAGACGATGTGCCGAGGAGGACTACAGACCCTGGCAGCTGCACAGCCAGGTAGGCAGAGAGCCGGAGTTGAGCTCTGGGTGTGAGGCATGGGGATTTGTGGGAAGAAGGTCATAAAGATACAGGCATTGGGGTTTTCTAGACCCGAGTAGCTCATCTAGTGCTTCCTGACATGTTTTGTGTTCTACAGGAGTGAACAAGCTCAACATTTACAGCTTGTTATGAAGTTGTTTCTGTTTTTATTGTGCTAGGATATAATGAGATAAAATTCAAATGTGCTTGGCTTAGACTTACAACTCAAAATGAAATACTTACTCAGCACCGAGATGCAAACATAATTCACCTGAACATGTCATATGGTTGGAGGATGGGGGCGGGGGTGAGGAAAGGATCTTCAATTTTATCTAGCAGTGCAAACAGAGACATAAAATAACAACATTATGCTGGGTGCGCTGTGCCGAAGGAACTCATCCTCTTCACTGCTGTAATTCCCTGGACTTAGGAAGCGCGTCTTGGGTCCTTCCAAGGTACTCATGGTACAAGAATGCAGAATTATTCATAGGAGACGTCCCTGGCCCTGGCCTCTCGGCTCTTCAGCTCATATCAGAACGTTGTGTGGGAAGCATCTCTCCTTTGATTTCCCCAGGCGGAAGTCATCTCGCAGGCCTCTCAAAGGGCAGGCGGAGGTTCTTGCTACTAAGCCACCACCGCATTCAGGCAGTGAGATATCATAAGCCCGAACCTAGGCTAAGGAATATATTTACATGCAGATGTGTTATGGAGCCAGTTAAAGTGAGTTTGCTCAAGAAAGACGGTTTATAGTAGATTAAACAAAACTCTGTTCTGGTCCTTCTGACACACAAAAGATGCTGTGTTTAATAGAGGGGCTGTGTCAGCTACAAACACCCACTCTATTCAGCGGCTCCGCAATGAAGCCATCTCTCATTAACATTGGTGATACTCCCTGCTTCGGGATGCACAGGCATTGTGATAGTCAAAGATCTTATTTATTTTGACGAGAAACACTGATTTTGGTTCCCTGGACTGTCTGGTAGACGAGTATAAAGCCAGTGCCGTGAAAGCTGTGTGGGTACAGGCGTAAGAAATCAGGCAAAATGGATCTTGCTATTTCTTAGCTGTGCTCTTCTCTCAGATGATTAAATCTGAGAGATAAATTGATAAATTGTTGAAGGTATAAATATTTCAATACAGGAGAATTTAAGTTAATTCCTATAGATTTCTTGGCAATACACTTGTTTATAGACTGCTTTATGATACTTACCTGTGTGTTCCTCCTAGCACCATACCTAACATCTTACCAAATTAAAGGGTACTGACTGCTTACGGAGTGAGGATGTTTTTGCACACACTCAACAATGTTTCCAAAAAACAAATAAAACAAACTCACTGCTGCTGAGTTGATTATGACTCATAGTGACCACCGCTGGGTTTCCAAGGCTGTAGATCTTTAATGGAAGCAGCCTGCCTCATCTTTCTTCTGCAGGGCAGCCGGTGGGTTTGAGCCAATGATCTTTTCATTAGCAGCCTAACGCCTTATCCACGGCACCACCAAAGCTCCTAAACCTGTTTAGGATTTCCCTTATACTCACCTTTATAATAAGGCTCCAGAGATCAAAAGGAAAATGCTGTTAGCACAAAGCAGACCGCCAGTGTCCAGATTACACTGAAATTTGAGAACATTTCCTAAACTGGCTGATGTAGGGCAAGGAAACCCCAAGATACCTGCCCAACAGTGTGTGATCTTTATCTCCTTTCAGGGGGAGGCATGCATCATGGGAGCAAAAAGGATATATAAGAAGCGAAAATCAGAGCGGAAATGTATGCAAGGAAAATATGCAGGAGCTATGGAATCTGAACCCTGTGTCTGCACGGAGGCTGATTTTGACTGGTGAGTTTGTGCTATTAACACATTGAGTCTTTCAGTATGTCCAGTCCATACTGGATTGGCCCTAATGAAAACTTAGATGGAAATGATGGTGACATGCATAGAGCTAAGTGCCAAACCTCATTTTCTGTTTTTTTTTTTTAGTGTATGTGTATGAAATTGCTTTCTGAGGACATCAGTGTTCACCAGCTCTGTGCATATGCATATAGGAAAACCAGGAGTTGCTTTAGACTTAAAACGTTTTAACATGTGCGTAGTAGTTATCTTCATCTATCTGATTTGTGAGGTATGGTGCCTCAGGAGAAAAACAGAGGTCCCATCGACTCTGTGTTGTTTCAGATGGCAAGACTGAAAACAATTAAGCAGACTTTTCATGAAGCCAACATCTTTGTGCCCATGATAAAAACTTTCTAGAAAGTAGCTAGCATAGCCTGCAGTGGAACAGAACCTTGTAAGGCAGTGGCTTTCCTGTGGCTGAGAGTTTTCCAGCACTGGTTAACTGACTTATTCATGAGACATTTTGAAGACCTTTCTGTGTTCAGTGCAGAGGTGGATTCAGTGGCCTTGCACAACTAGGACGGTGCATCAGTGGTGAAGATTACACCTTTACTAGGATTAAGTGTTAAACTAAACTCAAGAAAGCCATTGCATTCTTCCTGTGGTATTTGCTAAATGGAAAGCTGGCTTATGGGGCTTACGATCTTCATGCCTTCTTCTAGGTCAAGGTTTAGGGTTCAGTAGTAGTTGACAAATTATGAGGACTAGTAAGAAGGAAGGAGCTCTGGTACCATAGTGCCTAAGGCACTTGACTGCTAACCAGAAGGCTGGCAGTTCAAACCCACCAGCAACTCCTTGGAAGGAAGGTTGGGCAATCTACTTCCATAGTGATACCACCTCAGAAACCCAAGCGGGGGTCGCTATGAATCGGGTCCGACTCGACAGCACATAACAACAACAACAAGCAGGAAGTACAAGTATCCTCCCCTTTTCAAAAGTTCACTTTTCAGTACATTGCTTTTCCCGAGACCTACATCAGTACCTGTTTCCTCTAACCGAGAGGAATCCAAAGAGTATTTTGACTTTTATGGAAAAAGGTGAAAAGCAAAACTAGTGATCAGCATCTGTTTTGCAGTGAGCCATTAAAAAGGGAGCGTGCACCCCAAGCGGTGGCAGTACGGCCACCAAGATGCTTCCTAGACAAATACACTTAGCATCTCAGCATCCAGCTGCCATACTTTTGAACTGTCTGTATGTGTCAGTGTCATTTTAGGTGTTATGTGTTACTGAGTATGATTTGGTAGATTATTGTTTTAGGTCTGGGAACGCTCACACATCTTTCCCATATAAATCAGCGATGATTGGTTGTTCACTTCGCCATGTTGGCTTATGGAAGATTTCATAGGGACACTCACTTTTGGACAGTGGGGGAATGCTGTCACTCCCTTGGTTGTTTCCATCAGATTTCTTATCCCATTTTTCCTTCTTCTTTCTTTCTTTTTTTTTTTTTTACTTAAATAATTTTAGTCTAGAGAAAGCAATTGTAAATATATATGCTAATGTTAAATGACTAAAACTTGATCTGTATAAAAACCAAGGTCATTCCTCTAACAATGTGATCATTTACTTATAATGGTGTAGCAATGCCAGGCCAAATATCTGGTCATGAGATGCTGGGTACACACACACAACACATATGTTGGAAAAAGTAAATCTTCTCTCACAGTAGATTTTTGAAACCTGGCTTTGAATAAATAGCACTGGGAAGGCCTGGCAAAAGCAGCCGCTGGCAGTTAGACTGATGACCCAAGTCAGCTCCCCTCTTGTTGGTGGACAAGATAAGTCAGAAAGCAGTGCTGTATCTCTCTCAGCTCAGTCAGAGGGCAAAAGAGCTTCAGTTGTGTTGTAACCTGCATTGGAATTTTGCAGTGTCCTCCGTAGCCAAGACTTCTGATTTAGTTAAAGCAACCTTAATTTATTACAATGTCAAAAATATCTTACCTCAGTTACCTCAGCCCTGTCCTGCAGAATTGTTATTGTTATGTGTCATCAAGTTGGATCTGACTCATAGCAACCCCTCCTTTTGGTTGCCGAGGCAGTATAACTACGGAAGTAGATTGCCCAACCTTCCTTCCGAGGAGTGGCTGGTGGGTTTGAACTGCCAGCCTTCTGGTTAGCAGTCAAGTACCTTAGGCACTATGCTACCAGAGCTCCTTCCTGCAGAATTAGCACTCTGAAATATAGTCACAAGATAAGCTTCCACGCGATTTTAAGTCATTCCTCAAATCCCTTTTCTTCAAAACCTTGATCGCCTCCCCTTCATCCACCCTATCCAAGGAGGATTTGTAAAGAAAGGCCACATGCTACATTAGTGGTGGAGCTTTGGCCTTACCAAATAGCCATTCATTTGCAGAGAGCAAATTTATTCTCTGTTAGAAAATCAGAGAGACAAAGTGAGATGAGATGTTCCAATGGACTGATTTCTCCTGGAAACATTTGCTTCCACAGGAATCTCTTCTTCCAGGTCCCCAGATAACTCAGTCTTTGTTGTTGTTTTTCTGCTGCTCTTGTGAACTGATCTACAGTGATGAGAACAAGGGTTCGGGAAAGCAATAAGGTTTTCCTCCCCACATTGCTCTCCTCAGTCTTGGCCCAATTCTTAGGATCATTCGGGTTTAGAATCTGCTGCTCAGCCCCTTAGGTAAAACACATTCTGAGAAGAGGGAAGTGAATCATGACTCAGATGACTGTACAGTTTTCTGGTCAAATCTGAAAACATTTTGGAAGGTTCACCATGACCTTGTTAGGTTTCTCCCAGTGGCTGGCACTTCGGTGGCTGCATTGGCCTGTAGCATAATGAAAGGTGACTTGCTCCCTCCTGGGTCTTCCAGGCACAGTCCCCCAGATGACTTTGCCCAAAATTCTCTAACATTTGTAAACTAATTCCCTGAAGTGAACCCTGGGTGTCCTGTAGGCAGCCATTCTGAAATCATCTTTCCCGTGCTGTGTTGAACCAGCACCAAATCTGATTGGTATGTGCAGAATTCTAAGTGCCAGCTGCCTGGTGGCAGACCCCTTAGCTGAGCCTGTTTCTGCCTTTCCGACCCTCCTGTGCCAACATCTCACCTCCATCATACAGATGGGCCAATTCTTACTAACGCCTGCTGATTATTGCCTGCAATTTGTCTATGCACATGGAGGTGTAATTTGTTGTCATCCTGTGTGTCTGAGTTCATTCTCTGGAAGCCAAGAATATCAGCCCATTCAGCAGCCCCTAGAGTCAAGAGTGAGTGGAGACTGAAAGAGAAATCTTTGACTGTTTCCAAAGTAGAGGGAAGTTTTGAAGCAGTTAGTTCCAGCTGGCAGCGCTCACTGCCTAGCACAGAACATTTCCTTGGGCAGGGGTGTGCTTGAGACACTCCTAAAGGACATGTCCTTTTCTCCTGTGACTTAGCAGCATATGGTTCGTGCACAGAGAGACCTGGCTCAGCTCCACTCGGTAGATCCAGATGTCTTGGAAGAGCAACCCAAAGACAACACCAGTAATGAGGATTGTACCGTGTGTGACTACATAACACCCCACATTGGATCTGACACTGAAGAGTGGGCTTCCACCACTGTGTGTTTCTGATTACAGCTTTCTCTGGGCCCAACACAGGCAATATTGTATATCTTCCTACTGAGAACATAATCTGCTGTCTCAGCTTAAAGGGGTTTGGTTTGACTTATTGGACATTGTTCCTTCATCACTACATAGACATTTCTATTGCCTCTGAGTTGTGTTTCTCAAACTGAGTTCTGCAGAATATTGTCATGAGTTGATAATAGATACTGCCAAGAAAAAGGGAGAAAACAAGATTCCATTTTTGGAAAGTGTTGATTCAGCAAATGCCTGTTTTTTGACTGACTGATTAGAGTAAAAGTTGGCTACAAACTCACACAAAGTTGTCCTCAATGACAATGAATTTGCTGCCTACTGAAAGATTTCTCTTGGCTTTTTTTCCAACAGCGACTATGGTTATGAGCGACACAGCAATGGTCAGTGCCTGCCAGCATTTTGGTTCAATCCATCCTCCCTATCAAAGGATTGCAGCTTGGGCCAGAGTTACCTCAATAGTACTGGGTAAGCATCCCTAAGCAGGGCTCTGTGAGACTACTTTTTGCTTTTCAGTACATGTTAAACTTAGAAAACTACTGCTGTCAACGACCAGGCTTATTTCATTACTGGAAAAATTGTTTTTATGCACCTTAATAATGCCACACAGCTTTGCATTAATAGTGCAAGTTTCATCTGAGAGTAGTAAGACCCCAGTTACAAATAAAGAAGGGAGACCAAGTTTCTTAGATAAAGATTATGTGTGTGTGTGTGTGTGTGTGTATACACACACTCATGTATGTGGATTTATTTATTCATTAATTTACTTATACTTTCTTTCTGATTGAGTTAAACACATGAGACTACCCTTTACCCTTGCCTCACTGCATCCTTGTGAAGAAGATCAAATCGATACTTCTTATAGGCATTTCCTGTTTCATAGGACAGGAAACCAGACTCTGAAAAGAAACTCATTGGCTTCTCAAGAGTCTACTAGTGTTAGTAGGAACATGCTTCACCTTCTTCCTACATCCAATCACGATATATCTAAGGCTGCATTCTGATCTTTATAATCCTGGAATTAGATTCTAGAATTTTGTGTTTAATGTTCTGTGTCCTGGGACTTACCACATGTTATTTATAAAAAATATAAAAGGAAAATATCTCATGACTTTTCGTAAGTGTAATTGATGTTGTTGTTGTTGTTAAGTGCCGTCGAGTCGTTTCCGACTCATAGCAACCCCATGCACAGCAGAACAAAACACTGCCCGATCCCGCGCCAGCCCCACAATCCCTGCTATACTTGAGCCCATCATCACGGCCACCGTATCAATCCATCTCGTTGAAGGCC